GCATGGGTTAGGCAACACGGGGGCCGAGCACTCTAACTCGTATATCTCTATCTTGTATGGTCTATTTTAATGACCTGGTTCATTTATGTTATCCTAAAAGGATAGGAGCTCAACTATCAACTTATTGTAGAACGGACATCATACTTTGATCCTTTTTAAGAGGTTACACTATGGGGACACAAACTTGCATGATGGGACTGGTCTAGTCCAGTAACTTGCAAACTAAAACCAGATGGTCCAAGATCTCATGATGCGGTTTTTCTTCTTCTTGGTTAACCTTCTCAAGGGGGGCCTCCAGCACCTCAAGGGGTGTTCCTGGAGTAGCCTACCGATTCCATCGTGAATCCCATGGAAGCTCAGGCCCATGGTGTACTGCGTCTCTATCGCCGTTAGAATCCTCCCGTCATACATGCTGGTTGTTCCCTACTGTTGAAAATCATATGAGATTTGAGTGATTTGAGCTAGGGATTTGAGGGAGCATGAAGAGAATTTGGGGACACTCTGGATCTTCCACATCGATCCCTTCTCTCTGTACTCATTTATATTTGTTTATACAATTTACATTTTAGTCCCTAAGAAGTCACCTAATTACAGTATTCATACACCAACACTTCCCCTCAAGATGGGGAAAATATATCCTACAGACCCATCTTGCTACAAAACATGAAAAATGTTTTTTTGGGAGTCCTTTGCTACGAACATCCGCTACTTGACTTGCTGAAGTTACGTATGGAAGGCAAACAACTCTCCTATCAAGCTTCTCCTTGATGAAGTGACGATCAATCTCTATGTGCTTGGTTCGATCATGCTGAACAGGGCTATTAGCAATGTCAATAGCAGCTTTGTTGTCACAGTATAGCATCATAGGCTTGTACGTGTTGAATATGTCAATGTCAATGTGGAGCGGACGTACGGCTGTTGGGTTCTCCACTCGGCCTCGCCACTATATCAGTCTCAAGAATCATTTATGCGTGCGATCTTTGACCCTGTCAAGCAAGCTAAGTCAGAGGAGAAATGGCTCATGGCAGCAGCGGCGACGGTGGCGGTGGAGGAGACAGAGCTCTGGCCGTGGTTCCCGTGGAAGTCAAGCCGCAGCGACAGCCTGCCCTCGACGTGCCGCCCTTCCTCATCTTCGAAAAGTGCAGGGCACCGGAGCTCTTGGACTGCCATGCCTGCCACCTCCCCTCAAACCGCCTATCTTCGCGGTACACTACTGATTATCAACTTGAATCTTAGATCGAGTAGCTTATTTACAGATCGATTAGAGTCATGGTGATTATTACCCCTTGCCATCGGAACGGCTGTTGGTCTTGATCGTTACATATTAGTATAATAAATTGCAGTGCGACGACGGGCATCTGATGTGCTCGTCCTGCCACGGCGCGCACGGCGAGGACTGCGGCCGCGTTGCCGCCCACTGCCGCCTGGCAGACGCCTACGCTGGCGCCGTCAAGCTGATGTGCGACTACGTCAAGTTCGGCTGCGAGGCGGGGCTCGTCGTCTACCACGACTCCGTGGACCACCGCTGCGCGTGCCAGCACGCGCCCTGCTACCCCTGAGCGCGACGGGCCTTCGGGCGGCGGCGGCTGCGACTTCTCAGGCTCCCGGGAGATGCTCCTCGACCACATCTCCACGAACCACTCCCGCCAAGTCATCCTCATGCGCTACGGCCAGACGGGGAGGCTCAGCCTTGTTGGAATTAACCAGGTTGTCCAGTCCGGCTCGGACTTGAACCGTCACTACGTAGCCGTGTAGGTATAGGATTAGTAGTAACTTTTGGTTAGCTACTATATATACGTACAGATACCCCTGTAATCTGGAACTCAGATCAATACAAAGCAATCAAACGGGAGCGACACGCTCCCGTGGCCATAATATCGCGTGCGTGTTCGTGTGTCTCCGCGAGTTGTGCTAGTTACGATCGAAGGCGCCGGCGGCTGGTTGTTTGGTTTGTGCGTGTACTAGTTACCTAGCTACGTACGTGAGGAATCCATCCACCAGCTAGTCTGCCTGCTTGCTCCTTGTGTACGTACGCATCTCATCTGACGGACAATTGGCTGGCTAGTGTCGCTAGCGGCTGCTGCGTACGAAGTCGTCTCGACGGAAAGTACTCGTCGAGTCAGGCCTGTAGCCAACATTTGGTATTCGGAGCTTGGTTTGGTCGGTCGTGATCTTCGAAAAGCACTCAAAGGATCATGTCGAACACAGGTAAGGAGATCGTGACGGCGGCAGCAGGAGCACCAATGCCGATGATGAAGGTGTCGCAATTCCTCCGTCTAGATCAAAAGGAAATAAAACACAGGTGCGACACGCAAGCACCTGTTGCCATAAATCGCTACGTGTGTTCTCGGCGACTTGTGCTAGTTCGAATCGATCAACCCTTCGGCGTTGCGTAGTTCTGAGCTAGCCACCACATAAGCATCCACCTACTAGCCAGCCTACTTGCTAGCATCGGTTAGTTCTGTACGTACAGTTTGTGTACGGTCGAAAAGTGTCGTGAAATTGTCACGGCAGATGTCCTAAAATAAGGACTTAGTCGTGAGGCCAACGCATCTATGCGGTAGTTTGACAGGGGTTGAATGAAACGAGAGACGCAGGGCGGATCAACACACAAGACAAGGGTTTAGACAGCTTCGGGCCTCAGGAAACATCATCTGATAATAGCCCTACATGCTGTTTGTGGCTAGGTCTCATTATTATCACGAGGGAGTCGCTGTAAACCGGCTCTCCTCTTTGTGACTAGCCCTAAGATTGTTTCTTGTTGCTTGTAGCTTGCCCCTCTTTGGGGAACCCTACCCCTCTTTATATATGTTGAAGGGGCGGGTTACATGTGAAGTCCTATTAAAATTAGGACTAGTCTATCTTTAATACAAACCGGATACAAGTCCAGGTCTTAACTCCCTGTAAGACAAATATTCCTCACGCCTTTCCTCTTAAACCGGCCCACCATAACATGAGCCGGCCTTCTGGGCCTTGGGCTTGTCATCCGTCTGACCCGCCCGCCGAGTCACCAGTGAGTCATAATGACCAGGCGGGTGGCTTGTAAACCGCCAGGTCAGGACGGGTCGCTAGTAAACCGCCAAGTGTTAGCGGGGTCTTTCAATAAACCGCCAAATCCGGCCGGGTTACACTTCCGGCCGGTTTACGCCGAGGGGTATATCCCCGACAGAAAGTACTCGGCCGACTCGACAAACGAAAGTGCTCTCGACAGAAAGAACTCGTCTAAAGAGCAACGTACAGGGGCCTGTGCCAACAAGCCTGCCACTGACACGGCGCTGGCAGGTCCTCATCGACCAGGACGACATGGCCAACCGCCAACCGGCATCGGAGCGTGTTCCTCGTGGTCTTGGCCGAGCGCGACAAGGACTCTGCGGTGTCGCTGGTGTGCGTCAGGGCGGACGGTGACGCACCGGGCGCGCCGCAGTTCTCGTCCAAGCTCGCCGTGGAGCACACCGGCAGTGGCGCGAGGGTGACGTTTGAGTTACTGGTCATGAAAAGCAGCTCCCTGCCCGCTGGCACGCCATGGCCGGACGAGTTTACGTCCCTGTCGGTGCCGAAAGCGTATCTGTCTGGCGACATTGTCCCCCTCACCATCCACATTGACAAACACATTCCTCCTCCTCCCCCTCCTGCTGCCGCCCCTACTAGTCCTCTTCCTCCTCCTCCTCCTTCTCCTGCAGCCTCGGCTACCACCAACGTCAAGTCCGCGCCGATTGATCAAGGCAGCAAGAAACGAAAATCTATCAATCCGAAGAAACTCTAGTCAAACGACATGCATGACCGACTAGTATTGCATGGCAGCTAGCTATATATATTGCCACATGTGAAATAGATCGTTTTTATATCTAAGTTTGGTTTTTGTTAATCTCAAATAAGGCTACTTCATGTGCTCCCTTTGCTATTGCGTGGTGCACATCCTGGAGTTACTGGTTCTGTTATGAACTTGAGTGCACCATATGCATGAAATCAATATTTTGGCGGGCCACTAAAATTTTGGCACTTGATGAATAATATATCAGTACAAAAACTCAGGCTTGTAAAATGCCACTACAATACACATGCACTCTCGGTCTCTCACTTGCCATTATCCATCTTTTAGACCAATCTTAGAAAGAGGTTTTTTCTTCTAAAGCATACTAGTTTTCACAGACTGAAGTATTCGTGCATTATCACGGTTTTAAATATACCGTTCACCCAAACTAACCCTAATGTTTTAGATTACTATTACTACGGTTTTGAAAATACCCTGCTAAACTAAGCCTAATTAATTTTTCCATGCCACTCGCTCGGGTTGCATTCGTTTATTTCAACAGATCTACTAATTCAATAAGTTAAATCTCAATCAAGTTATGTGACAATGTGAACTCTTATTTCGCCGGTTAGAAGCCATTTTGATCGTTCTAACATACAAAACAACACATATGCATGTTATAGGCTAAAGATAACGGTTGTTTGACATAGATAGCAAGTTGAGGAGGCTGTTGGCAAAGATGACATAGGCCTCTCTCAAGCTCGGGAAAAGAGAGTTAAATATTTCTGCTCTTGGTGAGTTATAAATGGGGAGAGAAGTGAGGCCACTTGATTCTAAAATTTATCAAGCCGCTTTCCGCCAAACGACACAACACGGATTAGTTAGACGGACATCCAGACTCCCGTAAACCTATACACTCACAAGTTATAACCATCAGATTTTACACAAAGATTAGCCATCTCAAAAAACAAATAAAAAATCTAAAAAAAATTACAAGAACAACCACGCAAAATTTATGACGTTGATTGTGGTTTAACTATGTCTCAATCAATTGAGAATTAGCAAATCTGCTAAAACTACTACCCTGGACTACATATAAGGGTCGCTTTGAGATCCTCCAAGCAATGATCACGCTATCATGTTTTTTTTTCTTTTTGATCTTACGCAACTGTGCAAGAGAAGTATTTACAGAAACCATCGAATCAATAAGATGCTCGCGCTTCTCCGGCCCGACGGCGAACTCCGATCGTCAGAAGCAGCTCGGCGGTCTGACCTCTCCGGACGTGGACCCGCCGGCATTTCCGCACTTGGCCTGCGCCGGCCGCTTGTGCTTGTACGTCAGCCTAATGTTCCTAAGCTTGATCCCGCTGCAGGGGTTGGTGCTGCTGCAGTTGAACTTCACTGCAATGGGCGTCGCCGATGTGCCCTCGATGTCCGTGTATGATATGTTGCTGATCTGCACCCCCGAGCTCTGCAGGCACACACAACAACACAGCTCATGATATAGTCGATCGATGGGTTGGTTCACGTGTAGTAGTTGCATGCATGTAGGGAAGGAGACGTACATTGCCTGGGCAGTCGACCTTGCGGGGACAGTAGTTCTGGTCGACGAGGATGGGGTTGGCCACACGGTTCATGGTGACCCGTGAGAAGGAGACGTTTGTGACGGAGCCGGAGTTGGGCATCGCCCACGTCTTGATCCGCAGGCCGTTGGTCGTGCCCGTCAGCACCGCCATCTCCACCGTCACGTTCCTCACCCCCTCCTCACCGTCCTGCCACCCTAGACTCCCGATGCTGCGATCGTCCATCCAATGAATACACAAAACCAATGCTATTACGTTGCGCAAACCACAAGCAAACACAATAATGGATGATGAACTAGCAACTGAAGGTGGCACCTGATTCCATGGCCCGGACCGCACTCGATGTCCCTGATGAGCACGTTGGAGGTGCCAGGCCCTATGGAGACACAATCGTCGCCGGTGCCGATGGTGGTGTTGAGGATGCTCACATGGCGGGAGTGGCTGACGTGGATGCCGTCGGTGTTGGGGCTGTTGGCCGGTGCGATGATCCGGATGCCTTGGACCGTCACGGCGGCGCAGTCGAAGATGGCCATGTGGAATACCTTGCTATTGAGCAGCGTCAGCTGCTTCACACTCACGCCCTTGGACTGGCTAATGTCGAGCGTCTGCAATCGTACGTACGTATGACCAACGCCCGTCACAAGGAAATTGAACCCAACCACATTGCAAAAAAGGAAAACCAAGAAGTTCATGTCATCACTCACCGTGGGGCCTTGCCCGGTGCAATTGCTGACCTTCTTGCATGCCCAATACTCCTGCCCCTTCCCGTCTAGCGTCCCGCCGCGGATCGCTAGACCATCGGCGTGGTGGAACATGATCCACGCCCTGCTGTCCACTGCCGGCGGCGCGAAGACCGTGCCGTTTTTGTCAATGGCCACGACCACGCCGGCGCTCCGGCAAGGCCCCTTGAAATAGGCCTGGCTAAGCAGGAACCTGCCCGCCGGCACACGCAGCACCGGCTGGGAGCCGGAGCGCCCCGTGTCGTTGCACGCCGCACCCCACGCGGCTAGGAACGCCCCCGCTGAGTCCGCCCCGCCATCGGGCCTCGCGCCATAGTCCACCACATTGTACTCCGCTGCCGTCGTCAACGCCAGCAGTGCCATCAACGTCACCAGCAGCAGCGAGAGCGTATGACTGCTCATCTTCCGCACGATCAATCAGACACGATTATGTCTATGCCTAACTAGTTGCGCGTGCAACACCCGTCGCGACCGTCGCTGCTTTATATTGATCCGAACGACGTGACCCAGCTCGTCTCAGGGAAGGAATCCCGTTTCGCATTAGGAGCCCACTATACGATTGGAATACAAGTCACATCCCACGTCCTAATCGAGACTACTTCACGTACTAGGATCCGATTTCCATAGGAAATCGATTAAAAACAGTCGGATGAAGTCTTGGCTTCGTCAGCCGCGTCCGGCGCCGTGCGATCGCACGCACGCGATCGTGTGGTGCGGAGCGTCTCGGTGTCACTACGTGAAGTTACGCTACCCATCGCGGCTCCTGAAGCTGAGTGCTCCTTTCACTTATATATATACGTACTTCGCTAGTAGTGCTTAGCACGTACCTACACATGTACGTGATGCTGCAATGCTGCAGATAATCTCAACACAAGCTTATGGAGTCCTGTTTTGCTTGGATATAGCAATGCTTAGAGTAGCATCCTTGACGCCTCTATCATCGCCGTCGCTGCCGCGGTGGTCGAAGCCGTAGAAACAGCCGTGCCATCATCGCAACACTACCACGACAGGAAAGAACGCCGTCGCAACATCATTGAAGGAGTTGGGCCTTCGTTGGAGCATTGCCGTGATCATCCAAGCACATCATCGCAGCATCACCGTGACCGTTTGAAACATGCCGCCATTGCGGTTCGTCGTAACATCTTTGCAGCCGTCGGAGCACGTTGTCACAACATCATCAAAGTAGCGGCGTTGCCGTCGTAGCATCACCTCGCCTGTCGAAGCACCCGCCACAGCCATTGCAACATTATTGAAGCAAACATCTTGCCGTCGTAGCATTATTGAAGCATACCACGGGCGTTAAAGTAAACCCGGGCATCTCTCGGGCCGGGCCGGTTTCGGGCCGGGCCGGGCTCTAGAAAGCCCGGTGCTAAAATGTAAAGCCTGAGCCTGAGAAAAGCCCGACAAAAATTCACGTTTACAAGCCCGAGCCTGGCCCGGCTGAAAAGCCCGAAGCCCGTAGCCCGACCCGAAGCCCGAAAACTCCTGATGTACAACAAGTTACAGAAACAACATATTTCAGCAAACAATAGCATTATAAACAGTAGCATGGTATATACTACAGCATCATATTTCACAAAACAGCAGCATATACATATTTCACAAAACAGCTGCATTTCACAAAACAACAGCATATACATATACATGTAATCCATTCATTACAATATTACATAACAGCAGCATATTTCTCAAGTCCAAAGACACAAGCAACATAGTTTGACAAGTCCGCAACAGGGTTCAATAAGTCCACAACATAGTTCACTAAGTTTCATAGAACTTGTGAATATGATTGCTAGAAATTTTGATATATTGAATGCCCTCTCTAATCTTGTCAGCAGATTTATCAATAAGTTTCAGACCAGCTTGGACAATCAGATTTATCAATAAGTTTCAGACCAGCTTGGACAATCAGATTTAAAATGTGTGCACAACATCGGACTTGAAAGAAAGTTCCAAACAATGGTAACACACCTTTAGGCAGCAATGTAGTTCTCAAAGTGTTGATCATTAAATCATTGTATGCAGCATTATCAAGAGTCATGCACATTATTTTGGTGTCAACCTTCCACTCACGAAAACATAAATGGACTTCATCAGCAACTGTAGCCCCATCATAAGGTGGATTCAACTTTTTAAACCATATTATCCTTTTGTTCAGTCTCCAAGCATCATCAACGTAATGACAAGTAATACAAATATAACTAAACTTTGTCACATCTGATTTCCAATTGTTCGTGGTGAAGCTAACTCTACCAGGGCTGTTGCTGATAATTTCTCTCAATTCAGTCCTCACTCTTTCAAACATTGCCATGATATCCCTTCTAATTGTGTACCGACTAACAGTCTTAAACTGAGGACAAGCAACACCAATCATTTTTTTGAACCCCACTTCTTCTATCACACTAAATGCATGTGAACCCCCAACTAGGAACATAGAGATTGCAGCTCTAATAGTTTCCATGTCACTTTGTGTTCCTAACTGAATGTGAGCCATCCGCGTTCTTTTCAGTTTCTAGAAAATAGCTATTCACTTCATTTGTATTATGTGGATGCACTTGAGCAGTATGCCTTAACAAACTAGATGTTCCATTCTTCAAGGGCGCTCTAAGTATAGTATGACAAATATTGCACTCTGCCATTACTTCATCAGGATTAGGTTGTTCAATCCTAGTGAACTTTTTCCATGCTTTTGACCTTAATTTTGGAGCAGTAGTAACCTTTGGTCCTGGCGGTGCCGGTGGCGATGGCGGCTGACTTGCTTCATGTCCATGTCCCTCTTGGTTCAACCTTGTACGCTTGCTGCGAGGTGCTGCCGTAGCAGTAGCTGATGGGACAGCACGGCGACGAGCAGGATCAGGCACAACGATCTGGTCCAACCTTGCACTTGTGGCAGCATTGTCCTGTTCAACACTGGGATTATAATCCTCCTCTTCCTCTTCATGAACTTCATCACTTAGACTCCACAAACTAGTCATGCCTACCATAAAATACAACACACAAGAGAAACAAAGTAGCACAAATATTAATCTACTACGCAGCAAAAAAATCCTAAATGGAACAATAAACATACCAACAGAGAGAGGAGGACAGAAGGTCATACCTGCCGGTCGCCGGCGTCGGATGGGGAGGGCGCGCCGCCGTCAGATGGGGAGGGAGCGCCGCCTTCTGATGGGGAGGTAGCACCACCGTGTGATGGGGAGGAAGGGTCGCCGATGCATGGCCCTAGAGGAGGATCAGGTCGAGGAGGGAAAGGACCGCCGGGGCCGCGCCATTGCAGTGCCAGAGCTGCAACACCGCTGCCGGTCGACGGATCGAGACAGGGTGGGTTGGGGACTTGGGGTCTCGAGGACGGTGGACTGGTCGGGGCTACAGCCGCAGCCGCCGCTCATCAGGCCGACGAGGTACAGCAGCGCCGGGGCCTCGCCATAGCAGGAGCAAGGACTTGCGTCGCTGCCGCCAGTCGAGGGGGATCGAGGAGGGTGGACTGGT